CTATGTGCTATTGAAGGTGAGAGGATTAGGCTCCTAATTTCTTGAAAATCTCTAGTACTTCATTTCTCATAGAAAGTCAAAGTGGAATTGAAAATAAGAAGTTGTCAACTAGACAACTAGGTGAAGTTGTTAGAATTTCCATGAAGATAAGTATAAAATGAAAATTTACTCAACTCCTGTACAAAAGGATTTTTTGTTTCAAACCAGCTTTACTTATCCATTAGATGAAAAGGTTTTTAAGAGTTTTAAATTAATTCAACTGATGGAGGTGTTTTGCCTAAATCAGTAGCATTGTAGACTTGAAACTGTTTGTAGATAGGTATTTATTCTCCTCTAAATGTTGTGGGTAGGGAATTATTTTCCTTTAAAGGAAGTTTATATTAATATTTAAGGGAATTTTGTAACTTCTGTTCATTAATTGTGGAAAATGCCCAAGTGCCTATGAAAAAAATGATAATGGTATTGATATTTCATCCTGAAGGGTCTCAAAACAATTTACAGATTGGTAGTATAACCACACTGAAATGCACCCAGCTTCTTGGTGGAACATGGCAGCTGTTTAATAGCCCATAGCAAAACTATACAACAGCAGGTTGTGGAAAAAAGAGATGAATATGGATCAAATACAAATTGGCAGTGGAGGATTTAAGTACTGTAACTCAAATTAAAGTTAGGCGAAGTGGAATTCCGCTAGAATATTGAGTCTGTGTGTGGAGTGCTACGCTTTATCTGACCGCCGCTCCTAGTATGAGGACCTGCGGTCAGCCCATGTGAAAGACAGGCAGAGGACTGTATGCTGAAATGTAATCCCTGATGTGTACTGTAGACCAGTGTGTTTGACAAACAAATTTAATTGTGAATACTTTGCTGTTTGCACTTGCAGAGGGGCTTATTAAAAACATTTGATGTTAAAATGGGTGCCTGAGGGGGATCTTGGGCAGATGTGGCAATAGATGGGGGTGGCAAAAGTTTTGGCTTGATTACTTAGTTTTAGTAATTACTTTTTAAAGAAAACGGAATGCTACTGGAGAAGGCTGTGCTGCTAACAGCTGCACCAGCTGTGATGGCTGAGAGGTGGTTTTTTTTATAGATGTAGAGCATTTATTATCTAGGAAAAAAAGCAAACCAAGAAAGGCAACAAGATGCTACCAGACAACAATTCCCTTAGGTCACTGTTGGCCTGAGCTGAATTTTGACCTGTGACTGGGGCTGTATGATCTGTAGGTCTAGCACGTTCCATTGTGACTTCTTTTTACCATTTTCCATATAATCCATGAAGAACTGCAAACATTTTTTCCTCTAGGAAAGCGTATGGAGGTCCAACTGCACCATAGCTCTCTGCAACACGTGCCAAATTTAAAAGGAGCAAACATGACTTGAACAATTTTTCATGCGCTTTAGCATGTATGTATGTATTTATTTATTTAATTGGATAATTGGGTTTTCCCTCAGCTAAGGAAAAGCTGGTGTTGCTGACATTACAATGTGTTTGTGAAGAAAGACTGATACGACAACGCATGCAAGCAACTGTAAGGCCATTACTTACCCGGCATAATTAGAACATCCATTCCGAAGGGGGAAAACATTTAAAAGATAAAGAGTGAATTTAAAAATTATTCTTCCCAATGCATTTTTTTCATAATTATAGTTTTAACAGCTTGTGGTGATGGTAGAAGCAGCTACTTAAGAAAAATTAGAAGCCTCATTCGGGGAAGATGATCCCTCAAGAGACCTTGTGTTGTCATTTCTTAAGAACCGCGAGCAGAAACCTCATTCAGGATGCTGTGTGTTGTTTTGATGTATAGGGGGTATACTTAGCTTATTATGGCCAATGCTGGATATTTTAATTAAAAAACACCACAACAGCCACAGATGTATTGCTTCCCCTTTATTCCTCCCCTTGTCTGTGTGCAAAAACACAAGCGTACTCCTGCGCCTGAGCTGCAAGGAACGAATGCTACAGCAGATAGGCAGGAGGGAAGCAGTAGGTTTCCTAAATTCATGTGTGACATATCTTAGCATCGAAATTCTCATTGCGGCACCCAAGCCTTTTGTGGTACTCCGAGTTTTCTGCGGTTTGCCAAAGGGAGGTGGGAGATGGAGAGGGAAAACAAAACAGAAAAAAACCCCAGTCACCGCATTTAATTTATGAGCAAGATTATTGTTTTACAAATAACCTTCATGATAAATAAAGTCTCATGGCAAGATTTTCAACCGTGCTTTTATCAAGACTCTCTGAGCGGTGTGTGTAATATGCCTGGCAATCGAATCACAGCTGCGTGCCTGGGTAGGGAATCTCTGCGGAGACAACACTTCCTTAATTTAAACAATTGTAGGCTGCAGGAGTTCAAAAATTTCAGCTGACTTTAACTGTCACTAGCCCAAGCACCTTTATCCCCAGGCGAGCAGCAGCAGCTGGATTTCATTTCCTGCTGCCAGACTGTCCGACATCTTTGCTGAACATCCCGGGAACTGAGCGTCTTTACTTTAAGGATTTTATTCAAGGTGACAGCTCCTCACACTTTAGCGTTCAGATCACCTCAAGTAGCTGAGATATCAGTGAAAATGAGAGCACTTCTCCAGCAAACTCCAAATTTAGATTGACTGAGGTTATCCTTAGGCCTCTAGACCTAGCCTCCACGACAGCACAGGCCTGCCAGTAACTTTAAAACTACAGTGGAGTTTGTAATGATGTCTGGGGAGAAATATTCTGCCGGGGCAGTGGAGGATACTACAAGCGATAGGAAATGATGTCGGATTTAGTTAGGGCTGGAGACAGTGTTAGAATATACTTGGCATAATATGGCACCGGTATCTCTGTCAGCATCTCTGTTTTCTGTCACCGCACACAATCCCGGGCCTGTCTGTAGTCCTGACAGTGTCTTTTCAGATCAGGTTATTGCCAACTCGGAGACTGGCTCAGCGCAGCACCATACAGCCCCCTTTGTTTGAAGTCTGCCCTTTTGTCATTAATGCACTTGATGTCTATTTAAATCTGACGGTGAATGCAGTATCTGTTTTCCTGTCAAGAGATCATTGACAATATTAATACCTCATGTCCTTGCCTCATTTTCTAAGCGCTGACACCTAGCTACAGTCTCCAGCATTCATCAAACAGCACTCTCTCACCAGCATCTCTATAAACAGTCTTGCTTCCAGTCCTTAAGAAATGCGGCAGACCTCAAACAAGACTTTTATCAATGCCAGTGAAAAAGGAGTCTGAAGAATGCCATTAATAAACTGTTCGTATCCTTTACATTTAGAGCTCTAAATGGCCTTGTTACCAACCTAATGCCTGCTGCAGTTTGTCTTGGAATATCATCTGTTTAGGGGGAAAAAAACCCTTGCTTTTCATTAGACGCTTGTTTAGGAATGATAATATCATCCCTTGAATGTGGAAACTGCTCCGCTAGTGAAGTTACTGAAATTGAAATTATTGAAGAAAGCTCCGTGGAGGAGGGGAAAGGGATCAGGCACTGTACCATATAGTCCCCATTTGTGTTATCCTGAAGAGGAATGTGTTTTTCACAACAAATGACAGGCCTATCAATTTTTTTTTTTTTTTTCATAGGAATGTGTTACCATCCTGATGTCTTAGAAGGAACGAAGAGCATGGGTTAACATTAATCTTGCACAGCCCGTGCCTTCCAAGGCTTTAGTTGCTTATCTGACGCACATTATACTGGAAAAATAGATGCAGAATATAAAAGCTTGCATACTTAATTCGTACTGCAGGTGAGCACAGTATTTGCTACGTGAGTCCTGGAAAGCTAAAACGGCAATGAATTGAGGATCTGCTCCTCCCCCATCTCTACCCTTTGTGTAAGGCGGTGTTTGTCTCCTTTGGGCTCGGTTATGTTTGCCCTTATGGGGGTGAGCTAGGTACTTCAGTGATTGCTGTGTTAAGACACTCCCAAGGTAGAGGAGACTCTTTCACCTTCCGTCCGTGCATGGGAGATGACTTTAGTTTGACTATATGTGCCTGGGGGCATAAAGAACAACTCTGCTAGTAAAATTTAGCATCTTTGAGGACGTTCACAGGTGGGATGTGACTGTGAACTTAGGCTTTCACATACCACTTAGTACCACCAGAGGGGATGCTTTTGAACAAGGTAGTGAGATCTGCAGGTATGTGTGTCTCACCCACAGCAGTTAAGGCTTCCTCAGGCATCTTGCCACCCGTGCCCGCTGCGAATCACGTGCCTTGTCTCCCAAAAGCAGTGTTCTGGCTAATTTTTGTAAGCATCCTCTGTATGTACCTCATTCTACGTACCGATATGTAGCATAATTGATAATTGCATCTTGCTCATGGGATGTTGTTTGGAGGGCTACTTTGGAAATGTTTTTACTAAATGTTTATTCGTACGTCTGGGAAAAACACTGGAGTCTGGAGGGCTAACCGTGTGGAAATCTCAAGTTCTAGCCCACGTCTGTCGATGACTTCCCGCGTGGATTTCAGCCGGTCACTTCAGTTCTCTGCCACTGCAAAGCAGGGATGGCTTGAGGTGCTTGCAGGATGACTTTGTGTGAAGATTTGAAAGGTTTTTCCTGGATCCGCATTAAACTGTAACTATTTGCTGCTTTTTTTCTTTTTGGTTTTAATCATCAGGAAACCCCTGTAAACATGTAGCGGGGAGATTACAGAGAGTACAAAATGTAACTTCAACCCAGACTTTCCGGTTTGCAAAAGCAGGAGAGAGGTACTGTGATTTAAAATACAGTGTATGATGTTTCAGGGTTATGTCATTCCATTTTTGAAGACACTTGTGGATGTATGTTTAACTGGATAGGTCGTGCAGGTATTTGAACACGTGTTTTCCCAGTGGATTCAAAACTGCCGATTGAAATGGTAATACTGAATATTTCAAAGGCACAAACTTTCTTTTGCAGGACAAGAGAAAACTGTTCCCTTCCCTCCTTCAAATTTCCCTAGCTATGTGCTTTCTTTGCGTATTATGCCACTGCTGTCCTAATTGTAATTAATTTCCTTTTTATTGTAGGCATTTTGGGAAAATGCCGCTACATCTACTATGGAAAACATTCTGAGGGCAACAGATTCATCCGAGACGACCAGCTATAAAACACAGCGTTGTTTCGTGCCTCTTCCATCCCACCCCATAAGAAGCACAAATTGTGTCTAAATTTTCAGCATGTAACTAAAGTCCCCTAGTGCCTTCTGCTGACTTTGCCAACCCCGTCAAGATCATCCTTCTATCTTAGTCTGAGTAGTCACATAGAGATTGACATGATTGCCTTTAAGCAGGTCCCATCCACCAGTGTGACAGACAGCTGCAGCCGAGCACCCGACCTGACAGGAGGAGCACCGTGATGGATTGCCTGGTCCGGTTGCTGCTCGCGGAAGAGCAGGGGTCACACCTGGGGCTTCAGCAAGCATGCTCCATGGGTCGGCGCCTCAGCAAAAGCAGCACGTTTATCTCCAGCTTGCCTGTTGAGCGAAAGTGGCTGGCGATATCAAAGTGTTTATAAAAGAGAGAGGCTATAGTTTCAGATGAAAAAGCCCTTATCTGTTCCTATTTTTTTTCCCTGTGAATTAAGCGCTTGTGTTTCTATCATCTCATACGTGCTTACACAAATCCTTTCACAGTGTTTTCTTTGGTTTGGTGTGTGTGCCCCCCACCCATTCTTTCACAGTGTTTTGTTTTGTTTCGTGTGTGTCCCCCCCCCACCCCCAAATGAGTCTAGATGGATTATTTTTTCTTTCAACAGGGAAAAAAAATATATCCTGCAAATATTTCGCCCATGCAAAGTACTACCAATTTGTATAGTTGTTTATATGCAAAGGAAAAGGACTTAAGCAATTTTGCAGACAAGCAAAATTTTCTAATTCTTAAATTACATCTCAGCATTTACTGACTGACCTTCAGAAAAGTGATCATTTTTTAATGCTGTAGAATAGTGGCACAGCTTAACTGTATATACTTGGAAGAAGCCCTCAGTTGTGATTTGACAGTGTGTATTATTCCTGGTTTATTGCACAAGATATTTTTAACTTGTACAGAGATGACATTAAGAATTAAATGCTTAAATTTGGAAAGAAGAAAGTGCTTAAAAAGAGTGATATAAAGTAAAATTGCCACCGGATGGGTATGATTATTCAGAGGGGGGGAAAAAGTCAATAAAAGAAACTGGTGGAATTAACATAATTAACAGCTTTACTAATATGTTCTAGAGAAGAATTCTGATTAATCTCTTTTGATGTCTGTGTAAGAAAGGCTATTGTCAAATTTTCGGTGGAAAAGCAGACATATTTCCTGCTTTTCTGATAAACAGGTTGGACATATTTAGAATCGTGAACTTGTTAGCGTGCAAAAAAGATCCCAATACCTCATGCATGTATTCTGTTAAGTGCTACTAGATACAGTGGGATCGGCCAAGGAAATTCTGACTTCTGGGCTGTTCCAAACCCATGCACAGCGGTCCCAGTTGAGAGTCATCACTGTCCGGCTGTTCTTGGCCTGTTTGAAATTACTTGGTGTTCTTTATTCACTTCCCTGGTTGAAAAAATGTCCGTTTTTAGAAGTTGCCTACCTTTGGGGGGCTATTATCAGCTAGTGTTGCAGGTGGAAGCGAACTGGATATTGAAGCCAATCGTGAAATCAGGTTTGACCGACGGAAAAGAATGAGACTCCGGCAGCTTGCTGCTGCTGAACGTTTTAGGTCTTACTGAGTAAATGGAAGCCTTCACTCGCTCTGAAAGTCTGTAATAAATCTTTAACAGATACTTAAAATTAGTGATGAGCGTAGAACGATCCAGTTCACACCACCTGTCGTTCAAATTGAGCTCTGAGCTTTCTGCCATACAAACTGGTGTCTGGAAAGCGCGTTTTGGCCACTTGGAACTCCTCTGCTAATGTCATACGTGGCTACAAATGAAATGCTAATTCACATTAGAAGTCCTAGGAGATATTAGATAAAGGAAAACTACATGCCTCTTCTTTTAATCAAAAATATCATTAGAACTATTTAGGGCACTTGTCGTCTCTCGTGGTTACCAAAATAACAGCAATCCTAGTTTGTTCATACCATATTGTCTGTTTGAAGCCTCCGCGCATTTTGGCCATGGCATGTTACAAGCAGCAGGGTTCTGAATAGGGGTGTTTGGAATAACCTAATGTCACTTTCAGTCTGGTTGCATATATGTTCTTGTCTTTATAAAAGGCTTTAACCCTGCCTCAAACAATAAACAGCATTTGCAAACTGACCGCATGATTTTTCCATCTTTATTTTGTTTGTTTACTTTTCCTAATGTCAAAACCATTTGCATCATTTTCAGGAGTGTTTTCTTCCCAGGAAAGCTTTGGAGGCAAAAATATTTTTGGAATGAGATGTGATCGAAGTCTCTTCCATTTTGTTTTTTGTTTTCACTTGGGGGATTATATACCTATAGTTAAATACAGTAAAGCCCTAATTCAAATCTGCTCAAAGGGAATTCACACTAAGCGTCACTGATTCTGGAAAATCGAATGGATAATCTATTAATAATAATTTTCTTTTACTAACATGTATTAGGATATTATTTAAAAACAAGCATGGACGTTTATTACTGTTCATGCTAACATAATTCTTTTTTACTATGCGGAGCGTTTTATTTTCACATGTCTTCTGCTGAAGTTCTGTTTTAAGAGATAGCACACTTTTCAAACCCGGGGCTGCTATCTACACTTCGTTCTTTCCTCAGTGGGAACTGCGCCTGAATTTCTCAACTGAACTGAGTATCATTTAGGATGAAATTTGCAGTAGAGTAATCTGAGAAGAGATTCCACTCTCTCTCCTTTACTCCCCCTTCTCCACACATGGCTCATCTTTCCTTCTCGAGATTAACCAGGCTATCAAAAATAAAATATTTGCCTACAAAGCTGTAAGGATTTTCAAATGTGTATCTTTCCGAGGAACCACTGCATTCTTAGTTCTTTGTGTTGTCACAAGAAAAATTTTGGCCAGCCGTGTTTCTTGATGGTTAACAAGGTTTGAGATCCGAGGTGTGCTTGAATAAGTAATCTTCAAATACTACAAATTGAAAAAAAAAAAAAAAAATCTAAATTTGGTTTTTTTGTTTCGTCTTGTGATGACCGGTACTTTGGCTTTTGGCAGAAATTAAAAAAAAAAAAAAAAAAAATCCAAACTTGAGTATTATGTTTCGTCTTGTGATGACCGGTACTTTGGCTTTTGGCAGACATCGCGTCTTCACAAATGAAGACTAGGAGGCGAATGGTTTTACTAGGAGCTGCTTATAGTAGCTGTGCTGAGTGCATTGCTAACTTTATGCATTGAAAGTGTTAATTGCTAACCTTTTAATTAAAAATAAGGAAAAAATCCAAACGACAATATTGAAGGGAAATTTTAAAGATAAATGACCTTCAGTGAAAATCCTACTGTTACGGATACACAGACCTAACTTCAGAGCAAGCTGGCTCTAATTGCATGTGTTGCATGCATAAATGATTTATGGGATTGATGAAAGTATGCTACTACTGAAACCACTTTTTTCTCCTTTGTAGGGCTGAGTTTCACAATGCTTATTCTAGTGTTTGCTTTACTCAAACCGTGAGTCCCTTTGACGTCAATGTTGTTATCCATGAGAGTTAGGGTTACTCGTATTGGAAGGCTGGTACGCAGCTCCCTTTTTAGTATATTTGGTTCTTTGAGCAGAGCATTATGTGATTGCTGGATGTTCAATTCTCACATCTTCTTTGCAAATGAAAAATCACTGTATGTTGGTCTTATGTTGCTCCCATTTAAGTCAGAAGAAGGAAACAAACCTGTCTGTGCTTTTGAAAATTCTTTCTGTAAATTACAGGGTTCGCTTGCTGCCAGTGGATATATTAATATTTTTTATTCCTGCCAACAATATGAGTATGTTGGGAAACGTTTACCCCCAGCAGAACTTTGCTAGATGCAGCCTTTGTGGTGAGGTTCTGAATCAGCCCATTTTATACTGACTCAGACTGAGTCTTACCACATATTTCTTCTTTATGTGGTGTGATAGTTGGCACACGAGCCTCTGCTTGCCCAGTTTGGGAAAGTTTATTCTCTTTACTCTGTGTGCAATTGTCTGTCTTTCTGCTTTGTTAAATGGTTGGCATATGTGAAAGAAAGAGATGAAATTCAGCTTTCCAGAGGTGTAACCATATAGCCAATATTGAGGCTGTATGTTTGCACTTAGATTTCTACGTATCCACTTGCAGGTTCGGCCTGGGGAATCTGACAGTGAATCGGGCGATGTGGTCAGGGGTCTTGCATGGCTTGCTAGCTGTTGTCCTCTGTTCCTAAAGATCTCTAGCTGTGTCCTTGTCTGCTTCAATTGTCGTGTCATTGCTCTGCAAGCAAGTGATGGCAAGAAATAGGCGAGTGCTCCCCTTTTGTTTTTAAAGAGACATTTCTGCTTCACTGCTTGTAGTACAACAATTGAAATGCATGGTTTCCTTTTTCAGTGTTTTTGTAGATACACCTGGTAACTGTTATGTCTCACTGACTAGCCTTTTTCTGCTGTTTAGTTAAAATCTGTTTCCTGCATTCCTTTCTGCTCTTAGTAATGGGAATAAAACAAAACAAAACAAACAAGATATGGTTGTGAGAAAACAACCGTCTCAAGATGCCACTGTGGGACCATGCCTATGCTAACAACTCCGTGTGACAGGTGAGCATTGTTACACACGAACATGTCTAAATGGCTTGAAGGACTGAGATGTCTTATGCCTTCTGGTCTGGAACCTTCTTGGAGCTAGCCTGTGACTGTGAACAGCTGATAGAACCTTTGATTTCCTTATGCCACTCGAGCAGTATTAGGTGGTTAGGGAATGTTGTCTTACCTACAGTTACTGCTCATTTTACTTATAATATTATCTGAATAACCTACCAAGATCTTGGATTATATGAGAGTTAGGCCCAAGAAAAATGGCTTTTCCCAATCACTTATAACCTGTTCTTAAGAAGTCTTAAGAGTATTTTCTTTGGCGTTTGTTATGTGAGAACGTTCAGAATATACCCAGCACTCCCACTTCATCAAAGCTGGTTGAATTAATATATTTTCTGCGCACGGTACTGAAGCAGCTGAATCGTTCTGAAAGTTACCTTTTAGGTTAGGTGACTCTGATGGACTTGCCTTTGGTGGTGTTGTCAACCTGAAGCTGACCCTTTCTTAGAGTTGCTGACAATTAGATTAAGGTTTCAGATCAGGATTTTCACAAGCCTTCAAGGAGCAGATATTTGTAAGGACAAGCTAAGTCGTGGTCATGGCACATTCACAAAGTATCATCATCATCTCAGCATCCTCAGCATTTTAAGGGAACAGCATCTTGGAAAATATGTTTAGTTCTAGGTTAGTTGTGTTCAGAGGTTTTAATGTAAAATATATTCTGTGTTATCACATTACATCCAAAGTTTGGGCTGTGAGAGCAAGTTCCTAAATGTGTTCAAAACATCCTCCCAGCACAAGCTGAAAATTTATTGCAAATATTTTGCATTCTGATTGAAAGTTTTGCTGCCAATTCAAAATCAAAACTGTGAAGTCAAAGGTTTTTTAAACCTAGTTATATCTTAATTTAGAAGCTTTTAAACAGATCATCTCACCTCTCATCCACAATTCCATAGATCCTCTTAGAATAGA